ATTTTGTTGGTATTTACTTCAATCAAATGGTCGGTGCATTCAAAATATTTCAAAGAATTAATTATAGTCATTATTCGAGTGCCGCAGTTACCACTCGTGCACGCATTGATTATGATTATAGTGACAAACGGTTAAATCAATATATTATGTTTATTCCTCAATTTAATAATAAGTAACGATRATATTACCCTAAGATATAATTTCGGTTCGATAAAACCGGTTGAGAATTGATTGATCCCGATACTGCTATTATAATACATCGTAAACGTATAATAATACTTAAATCTATACWTTTGGTTGATGTTTTACAGTTCTTATTTGACTTCTATAATTCGTAATATTATGTATTTTAGTTTTTCRTTAAAATCGTGTATTATACAAMATTTCGAATTAAGTACCTCGGGGGTTATGAGATATCTCGTTACATATTATTTTAATCATATTTACCTATATACTCTATATAAGAGACGGCAATGTTATAATTTCAGCGAAAAAGCAACGAATACTTATTATAGGTGAAACTATAGGACCTATCTATTTCTTCTATCATATTATGATGAGTGTCCGAATAGACTTCGTTTAATAACATTGATTATGATTACGATGGCGATGATGATGGTGGGTCATTAAATAAAATAATAGACGATGGAGGAAAATGTGATACAAGTTTTATGGTCGGGACAAAAGAAAAACGGATGATGATTAATGGGACGTCTACCGGCGATTTTCAATCTTAAAAACATTCTCTCTTAAAAATAAATTGTTCTAAAATAGTTTTGGAATAAAAACACCAATTATCTTAATTGATTATTAATGTAAAAATATTAMTTGTTGAGACTATAGTCCATTCGTATTGACATTAAAAAAATTACACTCATCTGCAGATGTATATTACCTATTTGACATTATATTCAGGGGTGTGACCCGGGGGGGATGACCCTCCCCTACTTGAGCTGTATAAAATATGTTACTACTTAAGTATATTTATTTAGTCTAGAATTTACGGATAATATGGATGATTTATTGATTAATGAGTTTAATTAAGACGGTTTAAAGATAGTTTGGATTGAAATAAACAAAAATGATGACACAACTGTTTCATATAATATGGAGAACATTTTCAATGTTTGGTATATTAAACAAAGTATACAGAATTCCCCAATTTTCCTTTAAAAAACTTCTTGTTGCGCTACSGATTTTTTGGCTATACTTTTAGGTTAACGTATGATATTATATCGGATATAATAAAAAAATGCTTACGTTTACATTCCAAGCCATTYTTCAACATTGAACATTTAATAAAAAATATGGCCTCTATTTCTATTTCTGATCACTCTCTAGTCTATTCGCCTGCTAAAACGCAACCGGAATCGTAATTTATCAAACTATAGGTATAAGGTATAATATATAAATAATTAAAGAGGTATTAAACCAATACAAAGGTGACTTCCTCTTCACGCCACTCACACCTCTTACAAGTATTAACTATTCTACATAACAACATATCATTCATCATAAATTAATAATTAATATTATTGTACAGATTGTTTTGTTTTACATCTGTAATAAATAATAATAATAATAATAAAAGTGCTTAATGTCTGATGTTTATGTAGGTAACTAAGTGGCAAATGTTTGAGTACGAATTATTATTAAATTTATACCTACACGAGATTAAAATCGTTCGTATACCTTGTTTGTTACAGATGGGCACCGGCATGGATCATAAATCTACTTGGTACTGCAACGCGCCGAACAAGGTAAAACATTTAATAATAATAATAATAATAATAACAACGATGATGATGTTGATGATGATAATAATAAGATAATAATAAGATAATAATAATATTATATAATGATATAAATCGCGTCGTGGTCAAAGTTTTATTATAATAATATTGTTATATTGTTATTATTTTTGAATGGACGAATCCCGCGGGGAAACCAGTTTGACCGAATGCGGGTAGTTCGATTAATATTTAAATATTCTGTTCGCGCTAGGCGACGGCGGGAATTGATTAAGATCCAGATATCATTAAGCGTTCGGGGGGAAACTGATACTTTATATTATATGTTATTACACGATAATATTATATCTGTATAGGTTTTTTCCCCGCCGTGGTCAAAAAAAAAAAGAGTAAAAAGCTGATATATACCTATTATATATATWATATATATCTTATATTCATTTGCCTATATATATGCATATTACATAGGTAATACACATAATATGTTTGCATGTGTATGTGTGTGTATAAAATATAAATTACATTACATTCGTGATTAAACGTACCGGTTTTCCATTAGAGTATAATATAGTATTTCAAATGAGCAAGTAAAAAAACAATATCCCTCCTCCCCTTCAGTAGGTATATACTACTATATAGGTTGAAGTGACCGGAGTGCGCCATGTCTGCAGCAGCAGCCGAGCCGCTGAGGGTGACAACCGACCGGATTTATGACGACTCTGTTACGTCTAATATATACTTGTATATCAAGTGTTATTATATTATGTATGATATTATATACTACCAGCGGTCGGTAGGCGAAATAATAATATTATACACATTTCGGATGGTAATAATTGAAAACCCGTCGCCTGTAGGTAACCGAAGGGCTTTTTCTCGTTTATAAACGAATTTGTAATTATCGGCAGCAGCTATATAATAATGTGATTCGATTATAAAGTTGTATTTTTATAATTTTTTTATTATTACTATAGCCGTTATAAACGAATACACACACGCACAAACACACACACACACACATTCGGATACAGTATGTACCTACAGGGTGATTCGGTTGACCACATTAATTTCCAAGTAATTTTTAGAATGTTGAAAAATATGAAAAACAACCCTAGTTTAAATGTATAAGTAGATAAATAATTTAATATCGAATTAATTTTTTTCCTATTATAGTGTAGTAGGTAATAAAACTATGTATGCCAGCAGAGTAAAATAGCAAAGAAATTAACGTTGCCAAAAATTGCGGTACTTACATTATACTCRGCTGTTTTAAACTTGCTGCATGGATATTATTTATGATTTGTRTTTACTAATGATTTACTTATTAATATTTATTCAATATTTGATATTGTYTTAATACTTATATTACATCAGCAATTTTAAAGAAATATTTTTTTCCCGATAATAATTGTGAAATAAAGCATAAACGCTATAATTTAGAAATTTCATATAAACTACAAWAGTGTAATAAATAAAATAGTAAAATCAGCATAATAATAAGCAAYTACGTGCTATATAATTTATGAAATAGCTAGGAACCTATCTGTTATGATATCGATTTTTTCGAAAATACATAAGTACACAAATTAACTGAAAATCAAYATGTGATATATAACCAATTGAATAGATCACTCCGTGTCTCCGTATATATATACTATGTACCTATGTAAATTATATTATGTAGGTATCTATTATATTATGTATAATGTATGGAATATGAATGCATATCTATATATTTTACATAATTCAGGCCAACGATGATAATATCATTAAGATGCTTCCGTTTCGGCGGCGTGGCGGTTCTCTCTCCAGGGGAAACTGGTAGCAGTTTTGCCCGTTTCGCCAAAGTAAATAATAAATATAATAATATAAATAACAAGTAAYTCTATTTGTTAATAAAAAAAATCTAAATACCAAAATGCGTATAAATAACAATGACAGCGGTCGTGTATTTAATATTATTATAATACCGCGGTCGTTGTGGTCGTGTAATGTTTAATGCGACGTGATTGGCTGCCGTTTCGATTTTTTTTTTGGACGCGCGAGCGCCCGAAGGCGACGAGTGACTGACCCACGCGAATGGGAATCGTATTACAATTATGTACGGACGCAAATCAAAACTTATCGAAGTCAGGATAATATTATAGTGGCAGCCRCCTCGGTGACAGGACGCACAAGGAAAACTCGTCCATGCATAATGTATATAATATATATATATACAAATACATTAGATATTATTATTACAGGTATATTATGCTCAAGTCTCGATAGACAAGCGTGTCATTTCCGACTGAAACGTGTTTTCGCGTGTTAGATTTATGATATGATATTAAGTATATATATATATATATTATTACATTATTGTGGCTAGGTAGGTATATAGACTCGATAATTCCCGTCGATTTTATAATCTCTGACCTACGTAGATCTTCTATCGATATTGATCTAACAATATGTACCTATTGTAGGTACTGTATGTAACATAGTAATATTGTTTTTTCTGTCGTGTCGTGTAAGTTCCAAAGTTCGTGATGTTGATGACAATAATATTATCTTTGATTTTGCTACAGTTTGAATTAAATTTKCGTACWTCGTGTGATATCGTATTGTTCCAGTGATAAATACATTATACACGCTATAATTTAAAAATATTGCCTACCTGTATTTTCTACTCATAAACATGCATTCGAGTTCAACCTTCCCTAAAATTGTTTTAACTTTTAAAAATATAATTTTCTATTTATTCGTAGTTATAAGTTTTATTATATTGAAATTTTTTTTTTAATGTATTAAATCAATTTAAATAATATATATATATGGATTATGAAATCATCYATAATTATTTTTTTTCATCAGATCCATCCTTAAATATTAGCATCAATAAATAATTAAATTCCGGCCGCAAAAAATATATTCTGGGTATACAGACACGAGGTATATAATATGCCTATCTATTCGACTTAGATACTATACTGATAYTAGTACATATTTTGTTTCATTATAAAACGTAAAAGAGCGTATAAAATATTGTAAATAGTACCTAACCTATGCTAACGTAATATAATGAGTTCTAACATTTTTTTCCTATTTTTATAATCATGTACCTATAACTAATGTCATGTTCCGTTTAAACACTTTAAACCTTCTAAAAAAAGCAATGAACAAAATTGTTTAATACGTCTCGACGAAACAATACCAAATTATAGAATATAGGCTAAAGGTCTCAAGTTTTTTGATTGATTCATATACTTTAATGAAATGCGATTCGTTGTAAATGTATATATTTTATCAAGTACACTCAAGTATCTCACTATTAATAATTATCGAAATATTTTACTGTTTTATTTATGCTTGAATTGCTAGATGAATATTTAATTTTAAACTATACTTATTATAGACATCATAGCCTATATTATGTATACAGTTGATATATCTCTAACAATTCAAAATCGCTCGTTTAAAATCCTTGGCCCGTATGCAATCTACGTATATGAGTTTTACGAGTATATTATGTTATATCCGAATTCAWATGAACATCTTTTAACTAAGTCATAATAATTCCGTGTGGCTAGTAACGTTTGGCTCAAGTTTATTTCAATTCTTGTGATTTTACAATGCGAGGGCTATTATTATTACATGTAACACTGTAACAGCTACTTTTACAACGCGCCGAAAGTTTGACTTTTCATCACTATATTCACGAAACGCCCTGTATACAATATTACACTGTACTCAATCGGTTGGGAAACACGTAATAGCACATACGTATTATAATATGTTATATTGCACAGCCATATAGACGCTCACGTGTCCTTGTGTCCGCATCCGTTCGCGGAAAAACGGTAAATACATCAAACCGTTTCGCGTCGCTGATGCAGTGTGTGTATAAGCATATGTTGGCCATGTTCGTATTATGCGTATTATATGCGGTGTGAGCAATTYGCAGGAAACGCTTGTGACATATCATAACACGATCGTTTGTTTTTTTTATATATTTTTACATTTTTTTATTAGGTACTTAAGTACCTACGTTTAATAATAAATACATGTTGCAAATAATTACGCTATGCGTGGTATACCTATAATACCTATAGGTGGCCAGGTGGCCTACCTGTATACCTATAATACGCTTGTCTATTAAAAAAATAGGCAATTTTTTACGACCTCGTGCAGTGACACTTGACGTGTACAGCGCCATATATTTCATACGACTTATATTACAGTGATAATAATATAATTACTATTTGGGTGCGAGATTTTAACGATAAATGACTTATTATATTAGCAATGGTATCAATTTATTATGTACGAACCACCTGTATACGTACACATGACCACCTGTACACTGTTGTAGGTAGGTACACGTATTATATACGCGCGTGCTGAGTATAACGAGTGAATCACGATTATGACGTATCGCTGAAAGCTATAATACTATCATAAGCAGCGTATATTTTATTATTTAGAACGGATTTCGATTCCGATAACGTAAACGTCACAATACTCCAAAAATAACGCATTAAACGAGTAGACGATGATTTAGACGAATTTTAGGTAGGCTTGTTATTTTAATTTAAAAAAAGCTATATTACCATTAAATGTAAAGGGAAAAAACAAACTCACATCATGCCATAATCTATTCATTACATAGTAAATATTTTTGGCCGCTTTATCATAAATCATAAATAATTTACAATGAATTAAAGTCAATATAATATTTCTAAAAAGGTATGTGTAAAAGTAAATGGGTAAATAAAAATACACGTTACTTTTTAAATGTTGTTRTTATTGTTGATGACCTTTAATATATAATATAATAATTTGTAAGGAATAAGAATATTTGACAAGCCATTATTTTGCGGTGCTTAAGAAATATTTAGGGTGCTGCAGGCTCATGTGAGCGGGGTAGGGGGGTTGTCCCAATGTTTCTATATGTGTGTTACAAACGATGTTAGGTGCTATACATTATTAATATTCGAATCTAAGTATCCCAAGGACGTCAATCATTA